GCCGTCCTACTGCCCACCTGGTTCCCTTTCTGATCTGATCTCAGAGTTGGTGAGGGAATCACAGGCAATTCATGGTCTACACGGGCTTCCCCTAATCAATCTCTGGCCCAACAGATGCAGGAAAACACATACTGGACCTCATTGTTGCCTCTGAGCAACAGTGATCTGGATACAGAGAATCACATGTAGATGTTGGTTGTGGTTACATCACTACCTAATCCAGTTGCCACTGACTGTGACCCAAGACCTCCACAGGGCTGTCAGGCCTCTTAGAAGGGTCTGTCCAGGCTTCAGAGGGTCTCTGGAAGCTGGGGCACGGCAGCAGGTGGATAGCCAGACCCACTGACTGGTTGCCAGGTGACAGCAGGAGCAGCTCTTATACTCCTGACGTATCTCTTGGTTTACTGAAAAGCCCAGGCTGAGGTCACAGGAATGGCCTTGAAAGGGAGGAGTCAGGTAAGCAGGGCTTGAGCCTAGGCCAAGAGATGCTGTAAGGACCTGCCCCAACAGGCCTCTCAGGAAAGCATGACTCTTGACACCGTGAGGTTCATCAATAGAACTTTTACTGAAAAGACAGTGGCTGTAGTAGAATCAGGCCGACTCTAACTTTCCCACGCAAAGCACCAAGCTATTCTTCCCCTTCAAAACCCACTCCCTCAACCAGTCCACAGGCAGCCAATACAGTGCCACCAGGTTGTTTTGAGAGTGCTGAGGTATGGAAGCGATAATGGGTCATTCTCATGGTGCAGCGACCTTGAAGTCAGGCGAAGATCTCCCTCCCTAATTCCCATGCGGTTAGAGCAAAAGTGAAAGCATGCAAAGAATGCTCGACTGGAGCCTCCTCCCCGCCTCCAGCAGAATGGCAGGGCACCCGAAAGGGGGACCTGACAGATGCACTTGAGAAAAGCCGTTCCCAAAAAGATAAAACGGGAGTGGGGGGGGGAAAGCAAATTCAGACTTGCAAGATTCTATTACTAGACCTGTTCCAATAAAATACAAGTCCTGACCTGTATAGCATTGGTTTTTTACCCTGGTCTAGAGCTGATACTCCAGGACACAGAGCCCTCATGGAGAAATTCTGAAACTGATTCTGACCAAACCCAGTTATGAACTCAGGTTAAATATGGCAATAAGAGAGCTGAAGCCAAACCGATTCCCAGGCAGATCTCCCACGGTTGCCATGCCCCTTCTGCTTGGCATCTAAGCTGCTCAGATGGGGGTGATCTAAGGCCACTGTGACCAGACACTGCCAGGTCACAGTATCTGAGATTCCTTTTGACTTGCTGGGTCCAGCCAAGTGGGTGATATTCTCAAACACTGGAGCCATCACTATTTAGCCGATTATACAAGAGGTAACCTGTTGGATCTTACTAGACGGGCAAAGATAAAGACAGCAGAGCAGCAAATTGTTCCTCAGGGATAGCCTGAAGCTGAATAAACTTTGTAGATTATGAATTGTATCAACTTTCTCTATAAGCAGATCCAGCAGTAAATAGATTAACAGACTTTTATTCTACTATATTTCTTATCAAGTACTAAATCACTTTCTTCGTAATACTTCATATTTCATACTTTCTTTACAAATTTGAGATTTACTTGCTTAAGTTTTACAATCTGTAGTTTATCATAGGTCCTATAAAATAACTTCTGTTTATTTTTCCTTCTCCAATCACTAACCTAGTTTTATACAACAATAATACATAAACTAAAGAAATATTTTTGATTTATATCAAAAGTATGCATTCTTGATATAACTTTGCTTTGGTATGAGAAAGCAAAATTTAGATATTTGGACTGACAAAAGTAGACCTCATTAACCTGTCATATTTTCTTTTTCTGACTTTAATGACTGAACTCAATATGTTGCTATTATAAGAGAATACTCAAGTATAAATATAATTACTTGGGACTCCCATAATTATTTTTAAATATGGTTTTACAGATAATTTAACAGGACCATTACAATACTTGTTTGATTGTTCTAAAAATATCAATTTAATTAACTTCATGAAGTAATATTTCAAATGCTTTTTTTTAAATGTTGTATTATATATAACCATTAAGGAAACTATGAAACTTAATTATTACTCTTAACAACAACATAATATTCTCTTCTGAATTTACGAAGGATTATGAAAATTCATGAAAAGGAATTTTAATCTGTTTCTTCTTTGTTAAAAATGAGTAACAAGAGGCAGAATACAGACAGTGAATTGACAAGAATGGGGAAAATCTAACAACAAATTCTTTTGTTGCTTTTCCATAAATTATGGACTTATTCATAGGAGATATGAGTAAGTTTCAACAAAAATGTGATCAAAACTGAAAAATAAAATAAAATACTATTACTGGGCTAATTAAAAGAAACTAGACTTAGAAGCTAAACTGGATTCCCTTAAGGTTGATCTCAGTGATAAATATGACAAACTAGAGATTAAAGCAGAATAGCGTAACAACTATATCAAAGAAATGCAAACAAGATACCAAGAATAATCCTCTGAGCAGAGAAATGAAATATTTTCTTGAATTAAGTAAAGAGGAATCAATAGAAATTCAAATCATTTACAGAAGAAACTGCACGTATAAGAAACTTACATGTGATATTGCATTTATATATTTTAAAACTTTGTAACTATTGGTAAGGAAGTAAAGGCAAAAAAAATAAAATTTCAGAAATTAAGCAGACAAATCAAGAGCCTAAATTGCAGTTGGCGCAAACGTCTCCACTTTTCTTACTGTCTTTCCCCCTGTGAAACCCTTAGACTAGGACAGGGGTCGGCCACCTGAAACACTGAAAGAGCCACACAGAATAGGGGGCTTGATTAAAGAGTGGAGCCTAAGGAGAGACATGCACCGGCCCTGCCCCCGTCCAGCTCCATCCTGGCTTCTCCTCCCCTGGGAAAAGACTGCTCTCCCCCCCCCCCCCGCGGAGGAGGAGGCTGATGGGGAGAAAGAGCTGCTGCTTCCGAAGCGGCAGCAGATGGCCGCTCGGGCTCGCCTATCTCAGCCTGCTGCGGGAGGCTGGAGTTGAGGCTTCTGGCTCACTCCGGGAGGGGTGCTCGGAAAAGAGAGGATGGGAAGCAGAAAGTGGGAGAAAGGACGTCTTTCGCTGGGAGGGCGAGGAAGCAGCAGTTCTGCTCCGCAGGAGGTGGGAGCAGGCGGCTTCTCCTTCAAGCTTCACCAAGTGACTCCGGGAGCGAAGCGAGGTCCGAGTCCCTGGAATGTCAACTTCGCGAAAGAGGGAGGCGGTGGTGGGATTAAAATAAAATGGAGGGGAGGTTGAGGAAACCCAGCAGACGCCTACATCAGAGGGCGAGCAAGAAAGACAAGATCGGGGAGAGGAAGAAAACTTTTGGGGCTTGCCCAGCAGGCAGCTGCTCCCTGCTCTCAGAAATCGCCATGGCAAGCAGGGACCGCGAGGAGCAACCAGGATCGGAGGAGCAGAAGTCCGCATGACTGAGATAGGCAGCGCCCCCAACTTTGCTCCGGGGAAATGAGAGCAGAGTGGGGCAGCGCTGCCTATCTCAGTCATGTGGACAAACGGCCGTGTAAACAGCACCAGATGGCTCCACCGCTCCAGATGAGCAGGCTGTTGCTCCGCAGTCGCCGTCCCGCCACTATGGAAGATAGCCTGGTCCGCGCCTTCGGGGGCCTCAGCCTCCAGCAGCCCCACTGTGCCCGAGGCAGGCCCCCCGCCCGCCGCTTTAGCAAAAGCCTCTATTTGCTCCGTGGCCTGCCCGGGTCGGGTAAAAGTACTCTGGCCAGGTAAGTGTGTCCCGGCTGCAGCCATTCCCGCTTCCTTTGATAGGTCATGCCAGGGGGGGAAGATCCGCGGGAGGAAGCCAGCGCGGTTCGAGGGTCGCCAGGAGCACACCGCATTAGCTGGCACTTCAGGGGGTGGTCCCACGGCAATGCCGACAATCTGGGCCGTGCACCACCGGCGTCTCCGGTCTCAAGCCGTGGAAAATATGCGGGCCCGAGCTGTCCGCTGCAAGGACGCCCTGCCCACAGCAGCGCCACCAAACTGCCTTCTATGCTCCTGGCGTCCTGGGCTGGAGCAGTGAAAGCTGGTCCAGCTGGTCATCGGGGTACGGAACCAGGCCGCAGACGGCAGGCCTTGCTCACCGGCAACGCTGGAGCCTCCCACGCCAATCTGTAGGTCTTCTGTGCCGCTCTGCTTGGACCGCCAGCTTCTGGCTGTGGGGCTGCCTCCCTCCGGAGCTGTCTTTCCCCCCTCCCATCTGTGTCGAGCCCACAGAGCTTGACAGGCGGACAGCGTCCCTTGAACCAATCAATTCAAACTTTGCGAGTTTTTTTCGTGAGAAGTTTGAATTGATTGGTTCAACTTTTTTACTCCCACTTTTTTTGGGGGGCACTGCGCATGGCTGGGAGCCGCAAGAGATGGCTTAAAGAGCTGCACGCGGCTCCGGAGCTGCGGGTTGCCGACCCGTGGACTAGGATATTAAAGTGCTGAGAACTTTAGGGCGAGGGATTACGGAATGTTAAAATTACTGATTTTAAGACAAAACACAGATTTTAGGAAGACCAATGTTCATAAGAAATACCTGATGGAAAGAAAATGTTGAAGGAAGATGTTCTTCCTAAATGCTACATTTATTTATGTTTGCTGAATGCTAAGCAAACAATTTATTTTTATAGAAAAGCAAGCAATATCATTGAAGGACATATTGGTAATTTGCAAGAACTTGGAAAAAAGAGTTGGAATATTCTATAAACCAATGGAATAGAATCTTAAGAAATATCATTTCCTATGGTCTCAATATGAGATTAATTCAACAGAAGAATTCTCTTTTATTTATATTGGACTTTTCTAAAGATCTTCAAAAAAGGTTGAATGTCAAGCTTTAGATGTAAACAGAGGGAGAGATCAACTTACATTTTTTGAACAATGCAAGATGCAGAATAATTATTACCCTTGTTATATCAAGGGTGGAGATCAAAAGCGACCAATACTGCAAGAAATTGACATTTCTACTCACATAAAATTTAAGCAGAGCTCCATCTGAGTTGCAGCACCAGGATCTCCTTCCAAGGTATTCATGGGCTGTGTTCAGCAGCATAAGGGAAGAAGGCAGCATTGGTGTGTCATGAATGGGAGACACTGAGAATAAGATGAGAAACAAGTAGAACTCTCATCAATTTTAGAAGGATGAGTGGCAAACCTCAGAGAGCAGTTTCTCATTTTACAGACTTAATAGAGTATTTTAGACATCTTTCTGCTCTAACAAAGTCTTCCAAAGCAAGGAACCAATCACTCAAAGGACTCACTCAGAATAGTCTGCCAAACTGCTTGATCACCTTGCCCTCCTCAGCATGCAGCTGCTGCATTTTGCACTAGCAGCACCAATTTGGAGATAATGAGGTGTCAGAAACTTTGGTTCCAAGAAGGGTCATCCTGAAGCTGGATAAATCCATCCCTGGCCATGATGCCTGCTGATTTTGAAGGAGCTGACAAACCAAGCAGGAGAACTTCTCCTTAAGGCAGAGCCTCAGGATCAAGGAGAGGAGTCAGTCAATTACACTGTGGTTACCAGTCAAACAGCCAGTCAATCATGCTAGGGTTAAGTCTCAATATTTGCTATGTTCCATTAGGCCTTGTGGCTTCCAGGTATCAGATAAGGAATTATGAGGTCAGCACGGATTAACCAAAGTTAGAGAATGACTTTACTTCATTTTTGATCAGGCAACTTCCTTAACGGCAATACAGTAGACTCTGGTTCTCAAACTGTATGCTGCAGGCTCCTGTGAATTTACTGCAGTACCTTCGGCATTGTGGCACAATTTGAGAATTGTGGGGTGACAGGCAAAATTACTGAGACACTAAGAGTGCTGAGAACTGAAAAAGTTTGGGAACCTTGGCTGCAGACCTGATGCACCTTGTCACTAGAAAACCATTGGATGAAGTGCCCAATGCCATTCTGACACGCTCAGAACAATACATCCGAGAGTCTTGGGCATTTGTAGATGCCACCTTGCATCCCCTTTTGGGACCCTTTGTAGAGGACTGGCATCGGGCCAGAGGACTACAGAAGGATGGGAAGGAGGAAAAAGAGACCCTGAAGAAAAGAAAAGGAACGCCAGGACTTACCTCCTTCCTGTGGATTCTGCAGCTGCTCCTCGTGTTGGCAGCAAAGGGGCTGGGCATTTTCTTCTTCATGCTGAACGATCCGATGAAGAATAATCCAGGGAAGCACCGAGGACACAAATGGCTCTTTGGGTTCCTCCTGGACTACCATGCTGCAATCGATAATCTAAACGCCAGAGAGAGAAACTCAGCAAATTAAAGCACAAATCAAGAGTCGGTCCTCCAGTTCAGATGTTCGAGATGCAGCTGCAACAAAATGAGAGCATTTACTAAAGGCACCGGGGCAAACCTTTGTTATTTGTCAGAGTGCTCACCCCTCTCCACCCCCCCCGTATGTATGATCTCATGGGACATACACCTAAACACTGTGGGAGTTTGAGGCAGGGCCTGCTGGTCAGAAAAAGCTGCAGAACTAGGCTGCAGAGTCAAGAACAGGCAGTCCTCAGTTAACGAGTGCCCTGTCCAGTGACCATTCAAAGTTACAGAGGCACTGAAAAAGTAACTTTAAGACATCAAACTTATAACTGTGACAGTATCTCCATGGTCACGATTACAATTTGGGCACTGGTATAGGTGGTACCTGGCTCAAGAGTAGTAACTGTGAGAGGGATCTTGGAGTCCTAGTGGACAACCACTTAAATAGGAGCCAGCTGTGTGCTGCAGCTGCCAAAAAAGCCAACACAGTGCTAGGCTGCATTAACAGAGGGACAGAATCAAGATCACGTGAAGTGTTAGTACTGCTTGATAAGGTCTTGGTAAGGCCACACTTGGAATACTGCATCCAGTTTCGGTCACCACGATGTAAAAAAGATGTTGAGACTCTGGAAGGAATGCAGAGAAGAGCAACAAAGGCGATAAGAGTGCTGGAATCTAAAACTTAAGAAGAATGGTTGTAAGGAGAGGCTATGTCCAGTCTAATAAAAAGAAAGACTAGGGGCAACAGGAGAACAGTGTTCCAGTATGTCAGGGGCTGTCACAAAGAAGGGGGTATGTGTACATGTATCACCTCTCCTGTGGGAGCTGCATTGGTTGCCAAATTGCTTCTGGTGCAATTCAAGGAGCTGGTTGTCACCTTTAAAGCCCTTCATGGCTTGGGGCTAGATTACCCGAGGGACCGTCTCTTGCCGGTCACATCTACCTGACCCACTAGAGCGAGGAGATAAGAATGTTGCAGGTCCCGTCCCCTAAAGAGATACATCTGGCGCAACCCAGAAAAAGGGCCTTCTAGGTGGTGGCTCCCTCCCTCTGGAACATCATGTCCCCAGAGATTAGATTGGCCCCCACTCTAACACTCTTTTGGAATGCAATGAAGACATGGTTCTGCCAGCAGGCCTGGGGAACCCAGAGCAGGATGGAGCCCATTAAATGGCTAGTATGAATGTGTGTTGTCGCCAGGGTGGGGCTGGTGGGGGTTAGTATTTTATTATTTTACTATTATTTTTACTTCTTTTATATGGTGTTTTAATATCCATGTAAGCTGCCCTGAGTCTCCATGTGTGAGTAGGCGACAATATAAATTTTCCAAATACATAAATAAACAATTAGAACAATTAATCAGTGGAACGATTCGCCTCCAGAAATTGTGGGTATTCCAACATGGGGGTTTTAAAGAAGAGACTGGACAGCCATTTGTCTGAAATGGTATAGGGTTTCCTGCCTGGACAGGGGGTTGGACTAGAAGACCTTCAAGCTCCCTTCCAACTCTCTAATTCTGTTATTCACACCCAGTGCACATTCACAAGCATTGCAGTATCCCATGGTCATGTAATCGACATTTGTGAGTTTCACAGCCGGCCTCTGACGAAGTCTGTGGAGAAGCTGGCACTAAAATCACAACTCGTGGTCACATGGTGTCTTCTTAACTATCCCGGGTGATTCATTTAACAGTCACATCAGAACTGACACTGTAAGTCCAGTGCTGTGACATGTATTGCTCAAGAACTGTGACAGAGTTGTCGGACCAATTGTGGTCATTAAGTGAGGACTACCTGTAAGAAGATGATTGTTGAGTTGCCAGCCAACCAGATGAACATTTACAAGCCTCTAGTGGGAGTCTTGTCCCTTTTCACGGAGATGTGTCCCTTTTTGCTGTGGTTTACCCTGCAACCAATATCTGGGGGCCCGATATGAAATGTTACAAAATTTTATCACAATATGTAAGATATATCTCTGTAAGACCTGTGGTCCTGTGAACAAGGGTGCTTTTTTTCTTTTCCCTCTCTGAAGTACACAGCTGGCTGCTGCTCCAAATGGAGCTCTTGAGGTGAAAGCTGCAGCAGCAGCTGCGGGATCAAGGGCAGACCCCCCCCCCTTACCTGGATGAGGTTGTGACTTAATCGGGTGAGACTCAGCAGGGGAGAAGCTTCACTCAGGCTGCTGCTGTCTGTGGAGAGGGAGTGACTGATTCCCTGGAGCAGCTGGGTCACAGTGGCCACCCACTCCTCCTTGGCGGAGGCGGCTGTCATATTGATCATCTGCTGGAAAGCTTCGTTCAAGGCCACTTCGGAGCATTCCAAGCACTGCTGGTAGTCCTTCAGCCGAAGGAGGGAATCCTAGGGAATATCAGGAAGAGGGTAGAAGACAAAAAACCCCACAGGGAAGAGAAGGAAGCGTCGCATGAGGCAGAAAAGCTGCTTCCTTCACGCAGAAGAGCAAGGCCAGAAAGGCATTTGTGCTCCTGCTGGTCACACCCTTCTTTTTTTGGGGGGGGGGGGTTTCACAGTGTTGTGCAAAGCATACACACACATAAAACAAGAAGAAATATTGTCAGGGAAAGAGGTAGAAAAAGAAATACAGCCATATCTCAATCCTGCTCCTTAAGTGTCCCCACTCTCAAGGTTGCTCCTGATGTCTCCACTTTCTCTTCCAGATAACCAAGTGGGCAGAGGTCCCCTCTTATATACAGCCAGTTTTTAGAAAAATATCTGTTCCTTGCAACTGACAACACCAATGCTACCAACACAATGTCTAAACACTGAGGCATCCCTCCTCCCATCTTCACCATCATTCGTTCAGGTACACAATGGACGTTCCTTTCTTTTCCATCAGCAGGTACAGACGACTGACTGGAATCCCCTTTCAAGCAGTCATCCATTTCACCCATTCTCCATTTCCAGGTGGGCCAAAATCTTTCTTGCTCCACTGCCAGCCAACCATTTATGTCATATAAAAGGGAAATTCCCTCCAGACAATTTGTTCAGAATGTTGCACAATTTCTCCTTAAATTTGCCATTATTACTTTTCATCTAAACATAATATGAATTATCACCAACGTATGCATTCTCATTTTCACATGCACCCACAAGAACCTAAGGCACACAATCCTGGACTTTCTAAAATCTTTTAGCATTAAAAAAACATTTACAGATTATACAAGTTGCGTGTTAAAAGAAAAAAGAAAACCACATTCTCACAGGAAACACCAAAGAAAGTCACACGTCAGCTTTGCACTAGTTCCAAATTAAATGAAATCTAGTCCTTTACAACCTTATGTTAAAAGAAATCTGAATTTCAAATAAGGCAGAACTGTCTGGATAAAATTGCAGTCCATAAACAGATTATTTCAGATTAAATTAAAGGTAGGATTGTATCAAAATTTAAATTTAACGAAAGTATTGCACTCTCCAAACTTAATCTGCCAATTCTCTAAAGAAGGAACTGAATGTAATTGCCAAAAATAGGTGTAGAATGTCCCAGCAGGGGTCATCATGGGTAAGGCCCACTTGGTGTACTTTCTAGGAATATAAGGCTCGGTGCTTCTTAACAGAAAAACCCTTGACAAGAATGAAAACTCGGTATTTAAAATTTATTTCATCCTATGGCGAATCATTTTCCAGAATTGCTGAGCTTTTTGAGACTCACCAAATATAAAGAAAGATCCAACTTGATTATTACATTTCCAGCAGGATTTTTTAAAATATGGACTATCCATTTAAAAGTTGTAACTGGTATACTAATAGTAACAAAAAATATTATGCTAGTTTTCTGTAAGTGTAATATTCACAGTAAATTGATATTTTTCTTCCAAGAATATATGTTGAATGGATAAAATCTGACATCTGTTTCATCAGGCAAGGTTTCACTTCTTCGGTTTCTGAATCTTATTTCAATAGTAACTTATATATAAATCCCCAAAGATGTTCTGAATCTTGTCTCATAAGCCTTGGAAACCTTAATGCAAAGAGGAATGGGACAAAATCCCTCCTGAGATGTGTTCAAACCTGGTGGTCAGAAATGTCTGACCTCTGCGATTGCCAACAAGGGTTTTGCACTAAGTACTAAGTCATGTTTTGCGAAGGGGTCAAATACTTATTTTGCTCATTAAAATGCAAATCAATTTATAACTTTTTTGAAATGTGTTTTCTGGATTTCTTTGTTGTTATTCTGTCGCTCACTGTTAAAATAAAGCTACCATTAAAATTACAGACTGATCATTTCTTTGTCAGTGGGCAAATGTACAAAATCAGCAGGGGATCAAATAATTTTTCCCCTCACTGTACAATTTTAATTTATGGGCCTTTTCCAGCTTGTTTATTCTAGCTGTATCTTCTCTGCCAATTATTATAATCTGATACCCTGGCAGACATTAAATTCACTACACTCTACAAAAGGAGTGAAACAGCATTAATGCTGTGAGGCCACGTTTATCTTTCTTCAGCAATTCTTCCTCATGTCTGATAATACTGCATTCATTTTTATGCTAATTTACACCAATTAACCTGAAAGAAAAAAATCAAGCTCACCTGTAGCAAGAGAAGTTGAGCTGGCCTCTCTGGAATGGAGATGGCAAAGTCCAAGTGCTCCGTCCTGCTGTCCCCACTGAGGCACAAGGTGGGGCGGAGCAGCTGAACCACAGCCCTATAGTCCCCAGCCTCATACAAGCGCTGAAGCTCCTCCAAAGATTGGCATCTCTCCAGGGACTTCAGATTCTTATCAATCTGCAAAAATTAAACACTGGCTGGGCCAATCTGATGTCTGCCTGGGGTTAAAAACAACCCCTTACCCCAATGACCAAACAAGACGGTGGCTGGTGTCCCACAGCAGGCTGGCTCACAATCAGTCTTTTAGTGGTGTTTATTCTACTACAGAAAGTCAACCATGACATACAGAGAACTCCTGCTCCCTCTTTGTCTTTCATCCGAGGAACTCCAGAGAATGCACAGTGGAAAGATGATCAACTGCTGAGGTGGAAAGATATTCTAAGAACAGCATTTTATTTCATTTTTAAAAAACTAGTCATTATTTCTTAAAACTAGAAGTATAAATATAGAGTATTTGAATCAAGCATCTTCTCCAACATAGAGATGATGCTTTTAATATCGGATAAAGTCAGGACCCATCAAGCCGCAAAATGCCGACTCAAATGCAACTGCGGAGGTTTCAGAGGAGACCCTTATGGCAAGATAAGTCTTGATACCTCCAGAGTTCAAAAAACCTGGTGTGAAACCAGCCGCAAAGGGGAGGTGATAAGCATGGCTTAGAGCAAACAAGATGACCAAAAAACTTCACCAGATGACATTACCTCCTCCAAAGAAACCACAGAGTCAACATGGAGGTTGGGCAATCTGATCACCACCCTCTTGTCGCGGTCAGGCGCGGCTTCCACGGCAGCAAAATGTTGAAGCATCTCTGTGCAGACATCATAGTTTTCCAGGGCCTGCTCCATTTCACCCTGCAGGAGCAACGTGGCTTTCAGCTCCCTCTTCATCCAGTTCCATCATCAACCCCACAGGCCAAGCACGTACCTCAAGGGCCACATCCTGGTTCCATCTTAAGGGATGTTTACATAACACACGTTTGCTTTGATCAGGAGCAAATGCCAGGAGGACCCCCTTTCTAAACTTGTCTTGCAAGGAGTATAAACTGAGCGTTAAGACCCTTTGGCTGCAGCAAAATACAAACCTGCAGAGCCAGAAATCGAGCTTTCAGCCAATACACTCGGACGGCAAACTGCAACCAACTCTCCTCAAAGAGGTCCCGCTGGGAAGAAGCGAATGAAAGCTGCAGCAGATCCCCCAAGAAGTGGGTGCCTGGAAAGTCTGGGCCAAATTTGCCACTCGCCGAACTGGCTGAGGGACCATTCCTGGGAGATACTAGAAGAAGCATTTTCCTTGTTTAGCACCGTGAAATGGGAGCCTGAAGCAGGGAACGCAAAGGAAGCCCACTTCTGCAGGCAGAGATTCCTTACACTGGTCTGGATGGCCAATGGCAGCAGCCCCCTTCTCTGCTCCCATTCTTGTGAGCCTGGGAACTCATTTAGGTGAGGCATGCAAAGTGTTGTCGAGCTCTCCTGCAAAGCCAGTCTAGAGATCCAGCCGGCTGGTAAGCAAAGATACCCTGCTCCTAAAAGCGTCTGCTGAATTTCCAGCCCTCACTCACCTGTGGAGCTCTTCCCTTTGGCCAGCAACCACTGATCCAGCTGCAGTTCCATGCAGGACAGACTCATCAGCATCATCTCCTGCAATATTTGCAAAGCATGACAGAAAGAAGGGGGTCTGGACAATCTGGATGCTCAGAGTTGATTTTTGTCTATTCTTTTCCCTCTATGCATCCAGTAGATAAAACCACCTCCTGCTATCTGCCATGCCTGCCAAGATGTGGCCTTTCCAGTAACAGAAAGGCCCTTCATTGCTTAAAAGGCAGAAGGGGGTCGGCTGCTGCTCACTGAAAAGGAACAGAGCATCCAGCGGGGCTTCTAAGTCAGTTTTTCAGTTCAGTTTAGCCTGGCTGTCTGCAGAGGCTACTAAAACTTATTTGTTAATCAAGGCATGTGATTCTCTGAGTTGGTGAGGCTAATTCCCATGTTCTGCATGGTGTGGTCTCTGCATTCCCATGCAGAGACCACACCATCCAATGCAGCTGTATTTAGAACAAAACATTTTGGACTTGGGCTCGATCCTATAACTGTGACTGGCTTCTCCAATAAAGCTGGATGTGAAACTGACCACAGAAGTGTCCTTCTCAAAGGAAATGAATGGAATTCAGAGCCCAGTTTCTTTCTGGTAGCTGAAAGCCTGAAGAGGCACAGCTTCCTTGGCTGTAAAAACTCGTAAAACCACCTGACTTTTCTGATCTCTCCTACTTCTTCTATACACACAACACTGTGTAGATTGGCTTAAATGGAGCAGACACTGTGCTGCACTTGCTGCACAGTGCCCATGGAGCCCCCCTTCCCTCTTCCTCTGCTCTGGGAGCTGACAGGCAACAGGGAGCTTGTCGCAGAGCCTGCTATATCCTGGGTTACCCATTTGCAGGTAAAAATGCTCGAAGAGCAGTGTGTGTGTGATCATTCGAAGTTGATCCCTACCCTGATGTGTTGATTGCGGCAGTCCCTTAATAGTGGGTTGGGTAGGCTGCTGCTGTGTTTTCTCCAATTGTTGTAGATATTCAGGACAAGCTCAGGCAAGCCTGGTGGCCACTTGACCAGGAACTTCTGGCTGATGACTTTCAGGTATCTCATCATCAGTTCAAGGATGCCTCCGTTGTTCAAATTAGCCAAGAGGAATTTATGAACATCCTGCTTCTCTGGAAGAAAAATCGCCACCTCGTGGGTATGAGTCCATCACAAGTTGATTTTCAGGGAATGAATCAACAGATGAAGCTAATGTTTAAGAAAACCAAATAAGAGATAATTCTTTACAGGGATCCCATCGACAGAAAAAGAAGAGCCAGAAAAAAAATCCTACCAGATTCTATGCAGACTGTCAGCTCGAGGGACATCCTATGGGAGCCCAGGGGCTGGGAATTCTCTTCCTTTGCTGTGCTTTGGATCTCATAGTGGTTGAATGGGCCTTCGTCTGGATCCAGCTTCCTCAGGCTGAAAGCACACCAGAAAAGCACTGAAGAAGCAAACTGGAGGACCTGAAGGCAGGGCCAAGGTAGCCAGGTAGTCTGATCCCCGGCTGCATGGCCCTGCCCTCCCCTCAGAAGCCCTCTCAAAATGAAACACCCTTCCACCCCTGGCTTTTTCCCCAGAACCAGCACACATTTAGGAATGGGGACGCGCACCGAGAAGGAAGGAATTTTACTAGCAGCTCCTGGAAATCGACTTTTTCTTCTTTTTTGCACTTGGTATTCCTGACTCGAGCTGATCTCCTCTTAGCTGTTTCACCACTCTCTTCCGTGATTTTCTTCCGTTTTAATCCTTTCTTAGATTTGTCACCCACAGAAGGATCACCTGAGAAGAGCCAAGGGGTTTTGGATTAACAAGCAGCCTGTATCAAGTTATTTTCCCTGACTTTTTTATTGACAAAGTCAATGTTTCTGTGTAGTCAAGTGTGTCTCTTGTTCCCAAACTCAAGGCTGATCTGAGAAAGTCCTGCAGAGACTTTGCTGCCTCCAAAATTTCTAGCAGAGGCGGCAGCAGCACCTGGAGCCACAAAGGTCAAGCTCAAGACAGGAATCCAAACAAAACAAACGGCTCTCTAACCTGTCTGACTAGGCCCTGCAAACATGTGTTCAAGGTTTGCCATCGCTGTCCTGGATTCTTGGGAAAAACTTGATGTGCATGAAAGCCAACATTAGCTAGTTGGATTTTATACACACACACACACACACACACACTATTCATTTTTGTGTATATGATTCCCCCGAGATTAATGTCCAACATCAGCTTGTCTGTGACAGTCTGGTTTATTTGCAAGCTCTTTCTGCTACTACAACTTATATAAACTTGTTATGAATTGTTGGGGGCGCATTGGGTTTTGTATTTGGGGTTTTACTTCTGTAAGCCGTCCGGAGTCCCTATGATTGAGTTGGCAGCCATATAAATTTTCTAAGAAATAATAAAAGAAAAGGACTACCCTAATTGCATCCAGGTGATTGTCAAGACTAAATGGCCAACTTTTTTCTTCTGCAGCTTATTCAGTGAAGGACAGACTATCCAGCAAGAGGAAGGACTTCCCATTCATGTGATGCCTCTTGCAAAGATCTTCCTCACCTGCAGAGTTTACTGATTCCAGTACAGTCAAACTGGGGAAGTTGGGAGTCAGTGGTGTATATGTGAGGAGTGGTTCAGTCAAAGGCACCAGTGGGTTGGAACTGACAGGGCTGGGGTGAAGAACACTGACGGGGGCTGAATTTGCATGGTTCTCCAGGTGCTGGTTCAGATCTTGGTACTCCAAGAGATCAATTCGCTTGCCCAAGCTTGGACGAGGCAGCTCACAAGTTGTGAGATGCAAGTAAGTGGCCATCAGACTCTCTCCTAGAGTTTTCCACCTGCATGGAAAACAGGGAAACAAAAACATGAATGGAGGCAAATATATGTGTCCCAGGATAATGTTGCAGGATCCAATCTGGGTCGGTCACGACAAATCATGAAGCTACTCCAATACTATCAACACACTTTCTTCACATTCAAAAGTGAAATGTGTGAACAACTAAAAGGGACACCCATAGGATCCCCAATACCAGGAGTCATTGCAGAAGCAGTCCTGCGTGGATTAGAACACCATGTATTTCAGAACTACACACTTGTCAGAACCCTCAATTATTACTAATCGTACATGTTCTCTGGGCTTAGGTTATTTGGGTTTGGCCATTCTCCTATGAGGGGAAGGGGGGAGGCCGGTGTGTGTGTGAAAGGAATGCCTCGGGGCCATCTGCCTTATCTCAGCGCACAGGGAGGAACTGGAGTTGTGCTTTCTCACAACCCGACATCACCTGTGGATACTATTATTTTGCAGGTTTAACCTATTGATTTGGGCAGAAAGCCTTCAGATCCTGCCTAGCTTTCCTGCTTTCTGTATCTGCCAATAAAAGTTCCTTTTGAAATGATGCCACTTTCAAGAGTTCTGCATTCTTGGTAGAGAAATGAAGGCAGGTCCTTACAACAGCTAAATTCTGGTGCCAGTACCTGGATGACACGTTTGTCATCATCAAGACAAATGCACTTAAAAGACTTTCATACCATACTGACCTCCATCTTCCCCAACATACAGTTCACAATAGAGGAAACAGCTAGGCAATTACCATTTTTTGACAACAGACAAGAGGATGGAAGGCCTAGAAACCACAGTTTATTGCAAGGCCACCAATATTCCACACATTCTGAATTTCAACAACAACCATCTACTGTCACACAAAAAGAGTTGCATCAGAACACTATATGGCAGGGTGAGAACCCACTGTCCTATCCAGCAAGCCAAACAGCTGGAGAGCAAGAATCTACATGAACTATTCAAACAGAATGGGTACCCATAATCATTTGTCACAAGATGTCCGCACAAGGTGGGGAGAGGAAGGAAGAAACAAGGTGCAAGACCAAACCACATGGCACACTTTGCCATCAAAAACATTTCGGAAGCTGTAGAATGCAGCTTCCGAGATCTGCAAGTGGGCATCATACACCGTCCAGAGACTACCATAAGAGGACAAATTATGCATTATAAAAATCACTTGGAGGTGGGAGATACTTCCAATATAATCTACTGAACCCCCTGCATGGATTGTCCGTGATTATATAGGACAGATGGGGAGGAAATTAACCACCAGATTGCAAGAACACAAGCAAGCAGTCAGATGAGGAGACGCGAACTCATTGGTAGCCTCACATTGCAATGAACAAGGACACACATTCAATTTTGCAGCTACTAAGAATAGAACAGAGCTGGAAGGGACCTTGGAGGTCTTCTAGTCCAGCCCCCTGCTCAAGCAGGAGGACCTATACCATCTCAGACAAGTGACTGTCCAGTTTCTTCTTAAAAATTTCCAGTGATGGAGGGCCCACAATTTCTGGAGGCAGGCTGTTCCACTGGTTAATTGTCCTCGCTGTCAGGAATTTTCTCCTTAATTCTAGGTTGCTTCTCTCTTTGATCAGTTTCCAATCATTGTTTCTTGTCCTTCCCTCTGGTGCTTTGGTGAATAGTTTGACCCCCTTTTCTTGGTGGTAACCCCTCAAATACCAGAATACTGCTATCATGTCTCCCCTATTTCTTCTTTTCTTTAGACTAGCCCACAGGTCGGCAACCTGCGGCTCCGGAGCCGCATGCGGCTCTTTGAGCCTTCCCCTGTGGCTCCCAGCCTCCTCTGCCTTTGCAGAGAGAGACAGAGACAGAGAGAGGCAATTGCACTTCCCTGCTTCTCTCTCTCTCTCTGGGTGTGTGTGTGTGTGTGTATGTGTAAAAGAGAGTGCACTCACAATGTTCTCTGAGGAGCTGAAAAGCTTTCTGGGCGGAGCTCCTCCCTTTGCTGCGTCTCTGAAGGAAGCAGGAAGGGCAGGAGAGAGCTAGCTAGCCCAGCTAGGCTGACTCAGGAATTCTGGGAGTTGAAGTCCATGAGTCATAAAAGAGACGAGGTTGCCTACCCCGGAGGTTGTTGGACAACAGCTTGAAGCTTGCCAGGTGAGCAGCAGACAGGAGGGGGGGGGAGAGAGAGAGAGAGAGTGGGGGAAGAGGAGTGGCAGACCAAGGGCAGATAGAGAGGGAGGGAGAGAGAGACCCTTTTGACATCTAAAATGAAGATAACACTGCATATATCCTTTTTTTACCTGTGTGTGTATGTAATTTTATTCTCTTAAAGCATTCTCTTGATGATCATTGTTTTAATAGTATGGATATTCCCAAGAGTCATATTTTTACTTTTATTTTTAATGTGTATATGTGTGTGTGTGTGTGTATGTGTAAAAGAGAGTGCACTCAGTGTTCTCCGAGGAGCTGAATACACACACACACACATATACACATACACACACACACACACACACCTATAATAAAGGTAAAAAAGGATATATGCAGTGTTATCTTCATTTTAGATATCAAAAGGATTTTGCGGCTCCCAGTGTTTTGTTTTTGGTGGGAAACGGGTCCAAGTGGCTCTTTGAGTGTTTTGGGTTGCCTACCCCTGGACTAGCCAGACCAAAGTCCTGCAACCATTCTTCATATGTTTTAGTCTCCAGGACTTGGATCATCTTAGTTGCTTTTCTCTGAATTTTTCCCGAACTCTCAACATCTTTTTTGTGATATGGTCACCAAAATTGGCTGCAGTATTCCAGGTGTGGTCTTACTAGGGTTTTATAAAGTGGTACTAATACTTTGCGTGATTGTTGGATGAGCAGGCACAAAAACAGCCAGGGAAATGATTGAAGCCTGGGAAACAGGCCCTTTGTCAGTGAACAGGACTGCTGATTTACCACCAGTGTAAGGACCCACCTCAATTTTACATCTTAAGAAGACAGAATTCTTGGAATGTCTTTTCCAACAGGGATCTTTATTAAGAGAAGCTGACTGCAGGAATGCTAGATAGGATCTGGGGAATCCTCTCCCACCATTCAATGTTTTAAAGTGTTCCCAAGCAGCCCCCACCCCACAGTTCTTCCAGGCAATTCAATCCATCAGTCCGCTCAGTCTGCACGATCACTAATCCTCTTTTCCCGGATCCCAGGCATTGTATTTCCCACCCCCTTTTCCTCACTGCCGGCAACGGGGAGTGAGATGAAAGGTGATGGCCACTTTGTTATGGTTAGTTCTCTCATGAGAATCCACAAACGGTCACTTTGTAGTTTAAGGAAGGAAGTGAGAGTCATAAACCCCCCCCCCATGCTTACCCTCCTCCCTTTTCGTAGTATGACAGAATCCAGAATAGAGTAAGAATTGGTTTTTCATCAGAGTAGGTAGATAGAAATGAAATATAATTGGATTCTGACAACCAGTCTATGAAGTACTTAGAAAATGAGGGCTGGGCAGCACAAGCAGCCAACGACTTAAAAGTCAACCATCAACACACATCAATCAACATAAGTAAAAAGTCACATACAACAGACACTTTAAATACTTTATAAGCTGTGGTGACACAGTAGTTAGAATGCAACACTGCAGGCTACTTCTGCTGACTGCCAGCTGCCTGCAGTCTGGCACTTCAATTCTCACAGGCTCAAGGTTTACTCAGCCTCCCGTCCTTCTGAGGTCAGTAAAATGACCCAGATGGTGGGGGGCAACAGACTGGCTCTGTAAACCGCTTAAAGAGGGCTGAAAGGCACTGTGAAGCGGTATATAGGTCTAAGTGCTCTTGCTGTTGCTACCAACACAGAACAGCCCACACTCTGATAGACAGAAGTTCCCCGAGGATGGGGGATCCATCACGAGTCCGAAAGCCTGGAAGGCAAAACCCCTGGTCTTGGTGACTGACCCAGATGGGATCCTGAAACAGAAACATTCTCAGCTTTTATGCCATGCATGATTCATTGCCCACCTTAGAACGGTCATATGCAATTAATAAAATAAAAGCGGTTTTCTTTTAATTTGTTAATCCAAAATTCTTGGATTATCTCATGATTAATAATTTATTAGTTAAGTCCCCAGGAGGAACTTTTGCTTGATATTTAATGTTTTCGGAGGAACATTTTGGCAAAGTCCGCTGCTAATTTTCTGGTAGCAGTTAAAATCCTGCAGTAGATGAGCACGTCTTGCTAAAAAGGGTAAATTCTTTGGCTGTCCTATTTGGTAATTTTAGGGTATGTATGCACACATATTAGTATATCTACGTGCAAGGGCCCATTGCCGTACGCGTAAGGTACAGGTTTTAATGTGGGTTCTCTTTGTACTTTCTGTATTGAAGAAGTGCTGTGGAGAAAAGAAGGACTAATTATTGAGATTCTAAAGTTCACCTGAGCCTTCCAAATCTGTTTGGAACAAACTCCCTCTCCTTCTGCTAGGATGACTACGAAACGCTAATTTTAAGAACTGATTGGGGAAGTGTTAGGAGGAAATAGCATTCAACCCGGCTTTTTATCAAAACCTTGTATCTCTACCGCAATAAGCTGACACTGAGCAGAAACGTACGTGAACAGAGAGATGGGCTGGGCAAGCTTGAGATCTGGCTCAGTCTTCCGTGCCATCAAGGCCTGCCTTTTCCTGCGCAGCTCCAGGGCTTCCTCCAGGATTGTTTGTGTTTCTGATGCACTCACAGGCACATCACACACTGACAGGTCACTGAAAAAGAATCAGATTTCAACATGTTAATTAGTTAGTTTTGCTGCAGTTCAAGCATCAACCAATCCCACTGGTATTAGTTTAGGTGTCTGTATAGAAGAACCAGCTTTAGGCAACAGTTTATAGGTGCAAACCAGGATGGTAGTCACAATCTCTATCTGACACTGGTACTGAGCAGGGGCCAAAAAAATGGTGACTTGCATCACTGCCAATCTTTTGCCCTTGTGCTGGTGTGGCCAGCTCTTCACTGCTGCTACACTTCACAAAAGCTAAACTTTTCTTAAGTTGGTGATTCTGTTATTCTATAAACAGCTTGAAACAACGTTTATCTTGATCTTCTCCACCACTCCTGTGGTCCAGGGAAAGGAGGCAACCAGGAAGGATTTCAAAGAGAGAAACAACTTGGAATTGAGGAGAAACTTCCTGACAGTGAGGACAATCAACCAGTGGAACAGCTGGCCCCCAGAAATCGTGGGCACTCCATCACTGGAGATTTTTAAGAGGAGACTGGACATTCACCTATCTGAGATGGTGTAGGTTCTCCTGCTTGAGCAGGGGGCTGGACTAGAAAACCTCCAAGGTCCCTTCTCGCTCTATTCTATTCTATTCTATTCTATTCTATTCTATTCTATTCTATTCTATTCTATTCTATTCTATTCCCATTCCCATTCCATTCTATTCCACCCTGTTCACATTCAGAACTAAATGTCTTTGGTATGAGAACGGAGGTCACAACACAAGTTGGGGGTTGGAGATTTGCATTCAATTTGCTGCCTACTTAGCCAATGATGTCTTTCTTCCATAAATTAGGATTGTGAAAACACAACCCATGTCTACTGCTCTGCTCTGCTCTGGCTAATGGAAAGAAAGAAAAAAGTGAACCTTCCACTTCACAAATTCTCCAAGAAGAACAGAATTTATCCTTTCTAGCTGAAATTTGTAGAAGACCCAAGCAAAACCTTGCAGATATTCAACTTACTGGGCCATGTACGATGCTTGGATTATTTTAATTGTATTTTATTAATGGAATCATTATCTTGAAATAAAATACAGCATGAAACAGATTAATGAATTTGATGAGACACATGTGAATGAATTAGAGATATATAATTAAACATAAAGCTACTGGTTTCTGAATCAATAAAAGTTGCTTATTTACTTACCAAATATTTTCCTTAATATCAAATTTCTGAAGTAACCACTAGCCTTTCTTTACCTGTACATGATTTATTTGTAACTTTACACCCAATCTATTTCTGAATTCAGAGAGATAAATATTGCAATCTTGAGCACAAATTTAAGTGTCTATAGAACAGAACACACCAGACACCAATCTGCAAGGTTATAGAAAGCTGTTATAAACACCTCCTCAACCCAGCCAGCCACACTGTTTGCCAATCCCATGATGGTAACTTGTGAGGACTTCTAGCATAACACCACGTGTGAAAATAAGAAAGTCATTTACCCTTTCAGAAACATTCTTAAGGAGTCCTTTCTGAGGCATGGCTGTTCCTCAAAGATCTTCTCTTTAATAACAAGTCCTTTGCTGTAATAGTTATCTCTTTCCAGTGCTTTGCAAATAAAATATAAGCACGCTGAGGACATCAACAAAGAAAGAGGACATCTGTTAATGCATTCTAGATTCCTTTGTGCTAGCTCTTTACAGAAGTTACAAAATAAGCTTGTTCATATTGTTGAGACCCATACATGGTAACCATCCTAATCCTTGACTTACAACCACAATTGGGATCAGAACTTGCATCACTAAGGAATACTTTCATTGAGTCACGCTCCATTTTACAAGCTTTTCCCCTGTAATTAATAAGTAAATCAGGCTTCCCCCCTTGACTTTGCTTGTTGGAAGCCCCTTGGGAAGGTCACAAATAATCACATGATCCTGGGACATGGCATGGTCGTAAATACGTGATGGTTGCCAAGCACCTTAGTTTTGATCATGTGACCACAGGGACACTGACAGTTTTAAGTCGCATTTTTCAACACTTGCAAATTTAAACAAGATGTTTATGATGGTTGTCTTTGTAAGCAGCCTTTCCTTGAGACCAATGGGGCAATAGCAGAAAAAATAAAGAAATAACACAAGCATCTTCTGCGTGAGCCTCATCTCACTGTGGAATTAGGATATAAAAAAGTTTAAAAACAAAATACCATTGACATATATTAAGCATGTTTCATAACTTGGAGGCCTGCATAGCTCCTATGTACTAGTCCTACTCAACCCTCCAACTTGCAGTTTCCAAGACTGCTTGACTGCAACACTACAGGAAATTCTAAATTAAGAAAAGCAGAAAGGACCTACTTGTGTAGTCACTGAGGGTGTAGAGGACGGTGATGAGGTTATCTAAACAAGGCCAATGATCTGGATTACAGGCAAGCCCTTCTTCAAAAGCATGGCGCGCCAGGGGAAGGCGAGTAAGCCGGAGAGCCACGTGGCCAATTTTATACCATAGGTTGACATCCGTGGAGTCAAGCTTCACAGCCTGGGAAACATAGCAGATGAGGTTTTTCAGGTAAACTGGACTGTCAGAAGCTGGAAGCTGCCCACTGCTTGCCCCCCAAGAATCTAGGGCACTGAGCAGATGGCAGCCCAGGATTGCCCAGTTCATGGCAAAGGATTCATTTTGGTAGGGTAATTTCAACTGTCCTTTTGTAGAGGGAGAGAAGCTAAAGTAAGTGTTCCAGGCCTCTGTTCATTGCATTGACCCACTCGAACCTTCCCGGAAGAAAGCTGAAAATTGTTCCTCCATCCTCTCCGGAGGTATCACACCTGTCCCCACCATCAGGAAGCAAAGCAACATTTCAAAGTGCAGAATCATATCTGTCTGTCTGCCTGTCTTATTTACTTGATTGATTGATTGATTGTGATGTTACATTAGCCAGGGGACTATAGTGTGAGTACAAAATAGTTGTTCGGCTGCCGACAATTGCTGTCCACACTCAGAAAAGTTCAATGGCATTCTGTAGCTTCCTCTGGGGCTTCTCCCTCCACCCATGTCACCTCGTGCCAAGCCTTGCATTGGGGAAGGTCCAGACCTGGCTGGATTCACACTACCATATGAAATGCCATTATTTTCCCACTGACGTAGTACCTATTTATCTATTTGCATGTAGCATGCTTTCAAACTGCTAGATGGCAGAAGTTGAGCAAGTGATGGGGGCTCACCCTGACACGCAGTGCTAGGAGTTGAACTGATGGAACAAAGACCATCTCCAATGTCTTAAAGCAACTGAGCCACTGAATCTTTCTTACTCAATAATAATCGAAATAAACAACATATGGAACAAGAACTACTTTGGTATAAAAAACTCACACGGATGGAAAAGACTTTCATGTTAACAAGCAATGTCAGCAGAACATCTATGCTTGAGACAAACACTGTAGACAAAAATGAAAAAAAAAAACGGAAGGGGGGAGACAAGTACACAAAGGAGTGGGACCCAGGCAAAGACCCCTGGAAGGCGGAAACCACTGCAGCAGAAGAGGCTGGTGAGATCCCCGAGTCCTCTTCCGCTCCAGCATCAGCCCGTGTGGAAGGGAAGGGAGAGAGAGAACGGCCTACCTCCAGGTAGAACTCCATAGCCGTCTCGATGTTGTCTCGTTGGGCAGCCAGCTGGGCCAAGTTCTTGTAAGTTGAATACTTCAGCATCAAGCCTGGATGCTTCAACCCCTCTCTCTCATCTCCAGCTGCAACTGCCTGAAAATTGGAAGGAAATAGAGAAAAATGTTTTATCTGTAATGACGATTTAAATGATCACCAAATGATCTTTTATGGCTGCTCCCTGAACCCAAGATATGAAACAAGGGATCCCCAGGGAAGAGGCAGCAGATCAACGTGTTGCTGACTGACCCCTTCCTGTTCATGGAAATAGTGGAAACTGTAAGCATCTCTCTCTCTCTCTCTCTCTCACTCACTCGCAGCTTCATTTGTGTGATCAGGGGATGTGTGCACCTGCCACTTGCACAAATGAAGCAGCGTGTCTGCCACTCACACGGAACCATCTCTCTCTCCCCCTGCCGGGCCGCCAAGTCAGAAAGTTGGGGACCGCTGCACTAAGAGATCTTCACTGGCAGCAGATCAAAGACACCATCTCCCAATTAGATCAAGAAGCTTCCCCCGAGCCCCGCATCAAGCAGAAGCAAGAGGGACGTTCCTTTTTCACTAACTTCGCGCAACAGACGAGTCTCCAGCAGTTCATGGTAGGCCTTGGCCGACTCTTCAAAGAGGTCATGTTTCTGAAGGTCCAGCGCTTGGTGATAGAGGGCAAAGGCTTCTGCTTCCTAGAGAGCCAGAGACACAGTGTGCTTGATTAAATACCCCACTCCAAAAAAAGAACGAGTCCTGCAGTTCTGAAATCTTAGGAAGACATTAATTTAAGCAGCTTAAAATGCTCAAAACAAAGACACACTTTTGTAAGCCTTGCTCAGTGATGAAAGGCAATAGGGCTATTTTGAGTGGAATTCTTTCAGGGCTCCATTCTGTTTCAGAGAAGGTGCCTGGGAAGCTGGGCATCTTTCAAGTGCTGAGCATCTACTGAATTTTCTTCCAGATCTCCCCCATGTTTAGCAAGACAGCAATACAACACTCCCCCCCCTCCCCCTGCACAAATCACACCATACTGGTAACTTGCTTTCTGGCTTTTATAAGTTTTTTTTTCTTTGAATGCAGCTGAGAAAGCACAAAGGTATTTCTTGTTGGTTGGTGGGTTTATCAGAGTATGATACTTTGTATCATACTTATGCCTTTTTGTTTCTGGAAGTTCAGAATGCATTTTAAAATGCCATGATACTTTGTTGGCTAGCTTGGGGGAGGACGTGCATGCTACCAGTTCAGTCAATGTAAACAGTGCAACAATGCAAGATTGAATTTGTCGGTTCTAGTTGCTTGCTGCAGTTCAAATTCTTAGTATTTTAAGAAAAACAATGAGTCATTTTGCTGGGCAGAGGATGTGTGTAATTTATATTAGTATTTTATTTCTGTGCGCCGAGACTGTATGTGCTACTAGCCAGGGAAAAAGAGTTTGTGTTAAAATACTAGAGAGGAAGGAAGGAAACAGCCCATCTTCTTGGTTGCCTTCAATGTTAGGTTGAGAAGATTTACACAACTTTCCGTAAAATATTTTTAAAGAAATCAGAGCTGTGTTTTTGGAAAGTCTGAAATATATTGCCTGCTCTCCTGTCCTTCATGGGGGAGTTAACTGACTTGCAGGGAATGTGTTGTGAGAGGAAGGTGTCTCGGTTCCTTTGGGAAGAAAAAAAGCTTATCAGCCACAGCAGAGGTCCCCAATCTTTTGGGCACCAGAGACCGGTTCCGTGGAGAGAGGTTTTTCCGTGGCCCGGAGAGTGCGTGGTTTTACGTGCTGCCTGCATCCTGCGGATGGGACTTTGCTTGTTTGTGCGGACCGGTTGCTGGCATGCCGCAGGCCAGTACTGGTCCACGGACCGGGGGTTGGAGACCCCTGAGCCACAGCATCTCCATAAGGCAAAGGCAGAGGGAGACCCTTGCATTCAAAGCTCTCTTTGTAGGTGGGCCCTCTGCCTATCATCGGGATCCTGTGGCAAAAGGGGGGGAGGGGAGCAAGAGACTTTTTCACAGCTGTCAAATCAAAATGTTTGGAACTGTGTTTAAACAAAGATGGAATGCCTAAAAGTGTGGTGCTGAACACTGGCAACCAAAATGTTTTAATAGAATATTCTAGGCAGGATGTTTTGTTTTTAAGTTGACACAAAACCCCTTTTCTGTTTTCTGCACAGCTCTTACTTTCACTATTAATCACTAATCTATTGTACTAATGGTTAATTTGAACCAAAATCCCAAATTGAGGATGTTGGTATGAGAGATATATTTATTTGTTAGCTTATCAATAAACCCAGGAAGGCAAACAGATATATGTTAACCCCCCCCCCCCCCGGGCTCAGCCTGTTCATCTCCTACAGACCTGGACTTACTGGCCTTGCAACGGACCTACCTGGGGGCTACCTATGGCCCAGATTGATTTACTTCCTGGTTTTGACAAAACCATGCCCGTAGCATACTACTGGTTTGCTTAATGACCACAGTGTTCACTTAACAACTGCAGTGGCCCCTTTATGACTGCCACATTTACTTAACAATTGCCACAAAAATAGTTGGAAAATCTGGTCAGTCACATGGCCATCCTGTTTTGCTACCATCACGACTTTTAATCGCCATGGGCAGGCTCCATTATGGTCTTAAGTTGAGGATTATCTATAAATCATTACTAAAACAAATCAATATCATACGAATACATACTTTCTTATTAATTTTATATTTCCAGCATAACTAAATCAATAGGCTCTTTTAAAATCATCAGAGAGTCCAAAGGATACGCGCAGAAAGTTGTGGTGGCAAGGAGCAAGCAGACGACCAAGTCTCATCCTATCACATCTGTCACCAGGCCACGGCTATCTGGGCTAAAGCAGCCATTCCCTTCCTTCTCAGACCCTGGGATATGCTCTCTACCAATTTTATCATCGATCTTCCACCATGATCACTTTTGCAACAGTGCATTTGTTTACCAAAATGGCTCATTTGATTCAATATTTATTATTTTTAAGAGATCACACAACTTTCTGGATCATGTTTTTAGCTAGAGTAAAACCTTTTAGGTTCTAATCTAAAACATGTGATCTTGGAAATAAAATGAGAGCCATGATCCATGGTTTGGAAGACATTCTCCCCCCATCCAGCCTCTACAGTAACATGCAATCAGAGAAGCTAATGAATAACCGGAGCAATACTTGGGGTGTCTATAAAAGTAGCTTCTGGCTGACCGCACTTGGGGACATAGGGAAAATATCCAAATATCTACATATTTTATAGGCAGCAATCATTAAACAATCGATAGAACGTATCTGCTAAAGTTCACCAGGCTGACGGGCAAGACCTCAGCAGAGTTTCCTGGTATTCAACCCGCACGGCTTCCCTGAGCACCCAGACGCGCCACCCAGCAAGGACCCTGGCTGCCGGCGAGGAAGAATCCGCCACCCCAAATAAAGGGGCGCTTTCAGTCCGGGCGCCCTTCGGCCCAGAGCCTGCCCGGCTCTTCTTAGCTAGAGCCTGCCCGAGAGGGCCGCCGCTACGTCGTTACACGACTTCCAAATCTCTCTCCCTCCGAGGCCGGCCCGGGCCAGGCAGGGGGGAGGGCCGCCGGCCGAGTCACCTGCGCTTCCTTGGTCTGCGACTTGTGACTCTTGAGGGTCCCCTCGGCGTCGTCGTCCTCCACGGCCGAGCTGGCGTTGAGCGCGGCGATCCGGATCTGCGGAGAGAGAGCAGCGCTCAGCCGCGGAAGCCCCCCTGGAGCCCCTTCGGACCCCCCCGCCACCCCCGCCCCGCGGCCCCGGGAGACACGGACCATGCTGGCCGCAGCCGGGACCCCACAGCCACCGGCGCGCCACCTGGCAGCAAAGCGGCCGCCTATTGGCTGCCGGCTACCCAACCGCAGTGCCAGGGGCGCGGCCGGGCCAAGGGTGGCCCGCCCCTTCCGGTTTCGGCTGCTCTCGCCGCGCCGCTCGGCTGCCCAGCCGAGTTCGGATCTTCTGAAGGTTTCGGAGACGCCTCTCGCGGCATTGAGTTTGATTTATTGAATGTTATTAATAAAGCACGAAATAGACGTTCCTATTTTATTTAAAGCAATGCTAGGGCAGGTATTTCAAATACTCGGAATAGTTTATAATAAAGATAAAAGGCGGAGCGAGGCCCCTCCCCCGGAGAGGAGGGCGGGGCGAGAGGGGGTGGGTCCTCCCCCTCCTCCGCCCCTTCCTCCCCCCGCCCCGCACAAGATGCCCTTCGTGGAGCTGGAGACCAACGTGCCGGAGGCGCAGCTGCCCCGCGACCTGCCCGCCCGGCTGAGCGCCGCCGCCGCCGACATCCTGGGCAAGCCGGAGGAGGTGCGCGGGGGCGGGGAGGGGGGCGGAGGGCTCTCCCCTCTCCCCCCCGGCTGACCGCCCGCTTCTCCCCGCAGCGCGTGGCGGCGACGGTGCGGGGCGATATGGCGATGGCGATGGGCGGCTCGGCTGCGCCGGGCGCGCTGCTCTCAGTCTGGGCGGTGGGCGCGGTGGGCTCGGCCGAGCAGAACCGGAGGCACAGCGCGCGCTTCGCCGAGTTCCTGGGCCGCGAGCTGGGGCTGGGCGCCGACAGGTGAGCCGGGCGGCGGGCGGCGGTGGCGGGCGGTGGCGGGCGAGGGGCTCCGGCCTGACTCTGCGCTCCCCCCGCAGGATCCTGATCCGCTTCCAGCCGCTGGAGCCCTGGCAGGTGGGCAGGCAGGGGACGGTGCTGACCTTCCTGTGACAGCCGGCAATAAAGCGCTGCGCCCACCGCGCCTCCGCCTCCGCCTCTTCCTCGGGGCCGCGTCGGGCGGGGAGGTCGCCGAGGCACTCCGCCCGCCCTGCCCGACAGCCGGCAGCCGCCCTGCTGTCCCCCGGCCTCGGAAAGGACGGAGCCTGGGGCCGGGCTGGGGAGGGTCCCCGTCCCTGGGAGACTCACCCGGATCTCCCGACAGGGGCTACTGGGCCGGGCCCGGGAGGGCTGCTGGGCCCGGCTGGCTTCCCCTGGAAAAGGAGGCCGGGAAGAGGCCTCGGCCTATCCGGACTCTCGGCTTCCAGAGCCCCGAGAAGGCTGGGGCACCGGGATCTCAGGGGGCCGGGACCCGGTTCATCCGGTGACAGCCGGCCGGGCTCTGAAAAGAAGGGGATTCCCGGGGGGGGGGAACGGCCCCCACGCTGCCCTTGGCCCCTCCGCGGCCCAGGAGAGACCGAAGTCCCGGAGGCCGCAGAGGCGGGCGGTGGGCCAGGGGCCAGGCGTGCAAAGGGCGGGTCAGATGCCCCGTTGCAGGTGTGGCCGGGACCCACCGAGCAGGGGCACGGGGTCTCCCGCGTGGCCCCTTCCCCTCAGCCTTTGAGGCTCTTCTGCTCTTCCCTCTTGGGACAACTTGGGTTTACCCCAAAGAAGAGGAGAGAGGCCCTTGGATAGTTCATCAGCGTGTGTGTGTGTGTGTGTGTGTGTGTGTGTGTGTGTGTGTGTGTGTGTGTGTGTGTGTGTGTGTGTCTGTCTGTCTGTCTGTCTGTCTGTCTGTCGCTGCTGCTTGATAGGAAATATTTTTTTATCTAAACAGCTCAGCAGAGATGTGGCCAATCTGATCACACAGATTGGCCACATCACACAGATTGGTGCTGGGCCGTTCATCCTTGAAAGCTGCCTTGGGCTCAGGGCCTCTGCACGCCTCCAGATGCCCCCATCTCGAGAGATACCGGGGGCTTCTTGTCAGCTGACGGAGGCTCTTCTGGAGAGTCTTCCTGGGCCAGTTGATGCAAAAATCTTTTGGAGTTAGAACTTGGGAGCTACTTGTTCCACTGTGATTTTATGTGGTATATATTTAATATCTTATTCATCATCGGATTTTATTCTTTATTATGCTTTTACGATATACATTTCCTAAAGAATTGTGGACACTGGACAATTGAGAAAGAATAATCTGCAGTTCCAACATCAATTGTTGGCAAAAGTGCTTGATTCCTTCTCAACCTATGTTGCAGACCTCATTCAGAATCTGGGCTTGCATGGGGGGGGGCAGCTGGTCAGAAGCCCCTGATGAAGATGTCAGTATACTTATGCCAAGAGGAATTATTCCAGGGCCACCCCTGGTTGAGGTGAGCTGGCCAAAAGGAAAGGGGCTTGGAGGAAGGGTCATTGGAAGGGGGGGCAGGATGCAAGGAGAAATCGGAGGGAGGGGAAGCCCCACTGATCTATTTCCATGTTTATTTTAGCATCTTCAAGAGCAGGGGCTTCATCTGTGCTTTCAGGGGGGGGTCGATGATGATGCTCTTCAGTTCCTGGGGGTTCAGGATCCGGCTGTGGGCGTCCGTGAAAAGGTCCTTCCCCAGGGTCAGCTCCACCCTTTTGCGCCACTCCTGGAGTTTGGGGCGGCCCTCGAGGATGTCGCAGCCGGCTCCCAAGGGCTGGAGGAGGCACAGCGGTTGGCGGGGCTCTGTTTTGGCAGACCCCGGGGTCTCCTTTCAGAGGGCAGCTGCTAGGGCAGGGGCCTTACTTGCATCAGCTCCACAATGGCCACCAGGTCAGCCAGGGAGATTTCTGGGCCAATGAGGAAGGGCTTGTCCTGCAGGAACTTGTCCTCCAGCTTCTGGATGGCAAGGTTCAGTTCCTCCATTGCTTCATGGAGCTTCTCTGGGGACACTTGATGGCCCACAAAGAGCGGGATCACCACCTGCCCCACAGAGATGTGAAGAGGGGGAGAGAAAAGTGGTGCCTGGCTTTATTTGGGCAGGCGCCAAGGGAGCTGTGGAGGCCCTGGGCTGGGGCTGGGGCACCCCAAGGAGGATCTTGCCAGGTTGACTGTTTGGGTCCTTCGTGGTGTCTCCCTTATATGAGGACAATGCCAGGGGATCGGAGGAGTTGCTGCCGGGAGGAGACGGGCCCTGGCTGAGCTGGTCCTTGCATTGGCATGTCTGCAACAAGGTGTGCTTGGGGGGACATGCAACGCCCCCAAATGATCTACTGCCGAGGGTGGCGAAAGGAAGTGGATCACTCTGGAGGCTAGTGGCTTGCTCAGTTAAAGCCAGAGCTGGCACATTTACCTGGTAGAGTTGATGGCCTGGACATTACTACCAGCAGCCTCTCTCAAGGGCAGCATGATTTGCTTTATGCCCATGCCATATGGAAGGAATGACTCTGTCCTCTGGAAGAAGCTTCATTATATCCATGAGTTGCCAGCCATCCCCGAACTGGCTGGGGCACGTGGAGGTTGCATCTCCACTGCCACCCTGTGGCTCCCTGTCTTCTCCTATGGGGGGCTGTCCTCCCCCCCCCCGCCCGGTCTCTGCCTCTCAAGTCCCTCCAGCGGATTTGGTGGGGAAATCAGCATCTCCAGGTGCCCCCCTCCTTGAGCCCCCTTCTCTTGGGTTGTTGGAGGCTGTGCAGGGCCAGCATGAGAGGGGGGGGGCTGCACCACCAGTGAGCAGGAGGCCCGATCTTACCTTGAGCCAAAGGATCTTGGATGTGCCGACCCGAATGGTGCTGATCTGCCAAGCCAAGTACTCATCCACACGGGCTCTCTTCTTCATATCGGGTGGGTACCAGTAGCTGGGAGTGTTGTATTTGCGGATTAGGTAGAGAAGGATGGCTGTGCTGGTGGGCAGAAAACAAAGAGCCAAGGCAGGAAAAAAAACGTCCCCTCAGCGCCCTCCGCTGGATTTGGCCCCCAAGAGAAGGAGAGCCATCCCAGAGTGCTTTCAGACACTGCCCTCTCTCCATTGGGCCGTCTTTGGTTGTTCTCTTTGGGAAGTTGGGTAAGCACAAATTGCCCCAGTGGGAGGCAGTCACACACCCCTCCTCTTTCTTTTGGTTTTTTTTTTCCCCCAAGCATGACTTTCATGCACATACCCCAACCTTGCTAAGGCAAAGCCAAATAGGCTTGACTTGGCTCCCAGCATTTCTGCCTGGGATGCATGCTCACCCAGAGCTGCGGCTGGCTCTGCTGGAGCGAAGGCCAGACTTCCTACTGCAACAGCTGACCAGGTGCTCAATGGCTGGGACTGTTGCCACGTGCAGGTGTCATCTCCCCTCCCATACATCTCAGCCCCTCCTTGGAATTAGCAGAAGCAGACCAGGATTTCATCCCTTTGGCCTCTCGGTCTAGCTTTTGGTTGGCTGGAACCCGGTTAGCATGCAGCTAGGACTGGGTGTCCAGGAGGCCAGCAGGGAACCCTGAATCAGAGGGAGCCTCTTATGCTTCTGACTCTCAACCTGCAGGTGCCGCTGTCACCAGCGCAGCTGCAACTGAAAGGAATTTTTTATTCCAGCCAGAGGGTGCAGATCCAACTGCTTTTCCACTGAGCCAATAATGCTGCTTTGTTCTGGGGATATGAAGGCAACTGGCTTTCAGTTGGTCCAAGTTCCTAGCTCCTAAGGCTTTCCCCTCTCCTCATCAGGAGTCCTCACCTCTCTTCTAGGATGAAATCTCCATCCTTCAGGACAGGCACTTTTCTTAGGATGTTCACCTTGTTAAATTCTTCAGTGAAGTGTTGCCCTAACATTGATAAACCACGTCAGCCAAAAAGAAAACTCCATAACCCAAAGTAAAATGAGCTTTCCGCACACAACCCTCCGTTTCTTAGCTGAGCTCAGTCCCCAGAACTAACAGCTCACAGCCCGGGTGCCAGGAGAGGGGTATAGCAGGGGCTACGGGTAGGTTGAGGACCCAAATCCCAGACAGGCCTCCTCCCACTGTTTCCCTCCCCAAAGCCTCCAGGCTCTCCAGAGGTGCTGGGGGGACTGTTGGGAGGAAGCCCTTTCTCTGTGACCTCCACCCTGATATCTGTGCTCAAGAGGACTCTGAAAACGCCAGGGCCAAAAGACCTCCGATGGCTCCAAGATCTCAGAGAACTTTCAGGCTGCTTGTCCACCTGTCTGGTGCCTCAGGAAGGGGCGGCCTCTGGATGGGGCAGCTGGAATCTGCTCCATGGGGAGGACAGGATGTGGCCTCCCTCAGCATGGTCAAGGCACAAAGCTTGGTTCCCCCAACTGGGAAGAGGCCTGCAGATGTCCCTCCTGTCCTGCTGGTCACCTCTGAAGCTTCCTGGAGGTGGGGAGCCTCCAGAAGATTGGGGAGAAGGGGCAGGAGAAAAGGGGGCTACAGGGGAACTCCCCCCCTCCACCTTTCAGCATGTCAACGGGCTTCATCATGAAAGGGATGTTGTTCTTTTTGGCGAAGATATAGACTGCCCTGCAAGGCTGGGAAAGCAGGTCCAGGTAGAGCTCCAGCACCATCCTGAGGACCAGCCGGAAGGTGGGCAGCACCAACGGAAACCTCAGGCATCCGATTGGCTGACGGAGCAAGCGGCCCTGTGGCCAATCGGGCCAAGCCTTTGCCTGAGCACCTGGTGGGCAGCCCTTAGATGGCAATGTCAGCAGCCGCTCTCGTGGCCGGGGGTGTGGGGGGTTTGGCATTCGTCCTTGTCCAGGGTGAGATGGAGTCCAGTGGATGTGACAGCAGTGCCCAATTTGGGCCCTTTCCGCTGCCAGGGCTACTGAGCCATGTGTGTGGCCCAGGAGAGGAAGCCTGTCACTTTCACCTTCCCACAAGAAGTGGGAAACCAACAATAGAAACAGCGGCTTTACTGAAGTATTTGGGGGTCTCAGCTCTCCTAAAGCAAATTCCTCTGCAGCCATTAGTTTAAATCACATTGTCAGTCAACCTGAAAGGTTAGTTTCATAGCTAACCTGAGTGCTATGCTGACCTGTTTTTCTGGGTTCACATAATACACTAAACCAAAACATTTAAATCCATGTTAACGCTAACCAACCTTGGCATGCTGTGAAATGAGTTAATTTAACCAATCTGTTAAGCCTGTTCCTCTGCGCTGTGGAAACGAGGCTGTTTTGTCAGTTGGAAGGCCTGCAAAACTAATCTTCACGTGTTGCCCCCCCCAAGTGCCATTCAGGGGGCGGAAGCCCATTGGGGGGTGGGAGGCGGCAGCAGCAGTTGGAGCAGGTAACTGAGTAAAAAGTACACAGGGAGTCCTCAACTTACGACCATAATTGCGCCCAAAATTTCTGTTGCTAATTGAGACAGTTAAATGAGTTTTTCCCCATTTAATGACTTTACTTGCCAGAGTTGCTAAGTGAATAACTGTTAAAGTTAATAACACGGTCATTAAGTGAATCTGGCTTCCCCACTGACTTTGCTTGTCAGATCACCAAAGGGGATCCTGTGATCCTGGGACACTGTCATAAATACATGCCAGTGACCAGGCACGGATTTTGATCACGTGACTCTGGGGACGCTGCAGTGGTTGTGTGAAAAATGGCCATAGGTCAATTTTTTCAGTGATGTTGTAACTGAACGGTCACTAAATGAATTGTTGTAAATTGAGGAATACCCTGTCCCTGTTGGCATCAACCCCCTTTTGCCTCCAAATGCCTTGTAACATCCAACGCTGCACGTAACTTCAGGTCAAGTGGAAAAAATGTTATGTGGTTGTTATGTCTGAGTGTTTGTTGTATGGTTGCAGGTCTGCTTGCCTTTGCACTGACTTGCCATGGCTCTTACCACAAAGCTATCCAGGTGCATCCGAAGAGGACTTTTCTCATCAGCCAGGCTAAACAGAACTGGGGGCGGCGAGAGACTGGCTCAAGGTCACCCAGCTGGCTTCCCTGCCTAAGCAGGAGCAGAACCTGGGTTTCCCTGCACCCAGTCCAGTGCCTTAACCACTATACCACGCTGCTTCTCCAAGTAGAAACAGGAATTGTTTATTTCGGGACCGCAAAGCTGCTACCAAGCTGGAATGGGCAAGGAAGATGACCTACCTGAGCAGAGCCTAGAAAGGCCCGGGCATAGGGAGAAGGCATGGGGGGGGGGTAGGAGGGCTCCAGGGACAACCATCTTTCTAGGACCCATCGTCCTCGGCATTGAGCATCTCAGGGCAGGAGTAGAGAAAAGAGGGAGGAGGCTTTGGAGCAGGTGATCACAGGAGGCTCCCGGGAAGGAGACCTGGTGGCCCCTTTCTGACTTGGGTGGGGCACAAACGTCACTAGCCCAGGAGCCTCTCAGCTCCACCAGCTTCCTTCATCTGGGCAGAGGAGCGGACTCACTGCCCTTCTGCCCACTGTTTAGCCATGCGTTTTCCTGGCGGTGGCTAAAGGGGCTCATGGCGAATGGTCTGGGGTCCTTGTGGCTCATCCTGGCAGGCAGAGTCCAGGGTCAGGAGAACTCCAGCATAACAGTGGAGCTCTTGCAAAGGCTGTGGGGGTGCTTTCTGGAAGCCTGACAGGGCTTTCGCCAGGAGAGCCTCTAAATGAAAAGTTAACAAGTCCAGAGATGGAGAGATGACCAGCCACGCCAGCCTCTCTTTTGAAATTCTTTTACTCATCTCAGCATCTTTAACAAAACGGGGGCCAGTTGCTCCTTCAGCTGTGGACTGATCTGGATGGCGCTAAGTTTACTAATGTTCAGGATTAATTCATGTGCTTGCAAGAAGAGCTCCTTCCCAATCACATCTTCCGTCCTTTTGCGCCACTCGGCCAGTCTGGGCCTGTCCTTGAAAATGTCGCATCCGACGCCCACAGGCTGCAGAAACAGAGAAGGAAACGCAGAGGTTGGCAAATGGCGGCATCAGATCAGCTGGCAGAAGATCAGGGCCCTCCACACACATGTCCCAGCTGCCTAGCCTAGGCCACCGAGTCTGCTCAGGCTCCACAGGCTGCAGCCCTGCCTCTGGTTCCCCAGGGTGCCTGCCCCCCCCTTCTTGACCCAGTGGAGCTGATTCTGGGACAGAAGCGCCTCTGGGGTGGCGCTGATCTGCCTGGAGCCTGCTCCTGCTGTCGGGAAGGGAGGGGACCCCCTTTGAGGGCAGCTAGTGATGCCCCTTCACAAGTCAAGAAGGGCACAGGCAGAGGAAGAGGAGAAAAAGCCCCTAGCAAGAAAATGGCCAGAAGGAACCTGGCTAGTCCAGACTAGGATTATAACCCGATCAGACAAGACCCTTCTGGGATGTCATGAAGATAAAGGGAGGGAGTGGGAAGCTCATTCAGACTCGCCTAGTTCCGATCCTTTGGCCTTGCAATAAAAGTCTCAACATGCAGGACTTTGATTTCCTCGTCTGGTTTACTGGAAGGGCAGGCAATGTGCACCTGGGGAAGCCCCATTGCATCTTTAAGAGGGAGGAATCAGATACAGGGGGGGACGAGGGCCCAGCGCTCTCAGGGTCACCTGCATGAGATCCACGATAGCCACCAGGTCCGCAAGAGAGACTTCGCTGCCCACCAGGAAGGGCTTGTCCTGGAGAAACAATCCCTCAAACTGATCCAAAGCTGCGGTCAGCCCGTCCATCACCTCCTGCAGTTTCTCTGGCGGGAGTGGCTGGCCCGTGAAGAGCGGGATCAACACCTGCATCAGAGGGAGGAGAGCGGTGATCCCTACCGAAGAGCAGCCTAGGCCCACCTGGGAAGGGGAAGATGGGGATCAGGGGGTCGGGGCATCAAGGGAAGGATCAGATGGGCTTTCTCACACCTGCTCAGTTCAGAAACCGAGGACCCTTTAATTTCCCCTCAACATGGAGGAGACTGACCAAGCAGAACAGTCCACAGAAACACTAGCAAATTCCTTGTCAGAAACATTTGGAAATGAATCCAAACATACTAAAACTATTGCAAAGTCCTTCTGTCATTTGGGAGAGAGTCTTCGTGTGGGAGATAATTTCACCTGGAAAAGGGCAGATGCGGGCAACCAAAATGATTGAGGACCTGAGATAAAAAGTAAAACACTGGGACATAAGGAAAAGACTGAATAGTGCGCAGGATTCTAGGAAAGTAACCCTCTTCTCTTTTCCCCCAAAGCCCTGTTTCCGTTCCCTTTTTGCCCTTCCCTTTCTTTTCCTTTCCTCTTCTTTTATCTAGTTAGGGTAAAGTGAAGCTCCTGGCCTTCACCTGTCATGGTGCCTGGGCATTTGAGGATCCCTCCCCCCACTCTCACCCTGAAGGAAAAGGCCTCACACTCCTCCCAGGTGGTTCCATTTTCTGAGCCAGAAATACATGCCTCACTTGCTGCGTTTGCTTTGGCTTAGGAAAGTAAACACCTGTCGCTCCTTCTGTAATCCAATTGTGCCTATCCAAGAGGTGTATATACCCTCCCTGTGGATTCTTTGCTCTTTTAAGCGAGAAAAACCTCATGAGTAAATGAATTGCCTACATTTGGGGCTTCAAATGTTTTTTTAATAGTAGCAAAAGTAACCAATCAAACTGAATGAGGGGAAAATACGAAGGGCGCTAATTTTTCAGTTAGTGGGTGAACTATGGAACTTGTTCTCCCAAGACTTCTTGTTGGAAACTGGACTGGCCAGCTTTTGAAAACATTTAGAGAGCTCTACATGGCTGCATCCAAAACCCTTTGCACATCCAGCTACCTGGATGCCGAGCAGCAAAATCCAGCAACCTCTGCAGCAAAACTCTGGGTTCAGTTCCGCAAGCTGCAGGCTGGAGCTTCGGGGTAGTTGGCTACCCAGGAGAAGCGCTCCTGCCTTGTCCCTTGGACAAGGGTCCCCCTTTGGCACAAGAACCCCAGCTGCCGTTCCTTTCCAAAGGAGCAGAAGTAATGGCTGGCTGGCTGAGCTGTCAGTGCCCAGCAGCCTCACTGAAAGAGACTTGGGACAGAGCTGCTTGCGGTGTCCCCGTGGCCTTGGTGGGACCAGAGTAGTGAACTATGGGAGCTTTTGGAAGGCCACCCATGCTCTGCTCTTGGGATGCTCCTGTGGAGGTTGAGTTGTCTCAGGGAGGAGAAAGCCCTTAGCACCACAAACTGTGGTGGTGTTCCTCTGAAAGTGGATGGATAGATGGATGATCAACTTTGGCCTGCTGCCTTTTCAACATACTGGGTTCCAGGGAAGGATCTAGTGAGGTCCCACCTTTGGATAGGAAACTACTGTGCTTGTGAGTGCTGAACTTTGACCTTGAGCCACATGGCAGTCTGTAGTAGGATAGAGATGGGGGGGGGGAATGTGGGAAGAGACATCTAATCAACTGCCTGTAGCAATTACTGTTTTGTCATCTTAATCTGTTTATTTTTTCTCTGTTTTACAAAAAATACTCTATTAACTGTACTTGATTGCTATGATTATTTAAGAATCTACATGCAAGAAATTGTTAATCACTGCTAATATGTGTGAAGAAAATTATCTCAGAATAAGATAAAATGTAAATTAATCCTTTCCTAGGAATACTGGATTCCTAAGAAAATGTGTTTTTCTTTTAAAAAATCAACCTTTCCTCTGGGGCAAACCATATTCTGCATCAAACTGTTCTGGTGGGATTTTAAGAACATCCTTTTCTTCCCCTCGATAGCATTGCATTGGGGCTCAAAGGAGGAGAACTGCCTCCACCTCATTTACAGAAAGATGGGAGGAAATTCCTCTCCTGGCCCATCCAGTGAAGCGCTTCTGCCCGTAAGACCTTGAGCAGGGAAGCAAGGCAGCTGCAACATCTTGAAAGCAAAAAGGTAAAAGCAACCTGGAGAAAAAGTGAAGTATTGGGCAAACTATATCATGAAGACAGACTGGACGTTTCAAGTGCTGGGAACAGATCTTAAATCTTCTGGGTCAAGCTGAGGCTTCCCAAATCTCCAGATCCTCCTCAAATCCTCACCTTAATCCACACTGTCTTGGGAGCATTGGATCTGATGTTAGCCTGATGCCACGACAGGTATTCGTCCACCTTTGCTCGTTTCTGTAGGTCAGATGGGTACCAGTGATCTGGGGTGTTGTACTTGCGACTCAGATACAAAAGGATGGCCGTGCTGACCACAGATTCATGGAAATCGAGGAGGACAGGACCACAAAAGAAAGGCAGGAGTTAGTTTCTGCAGAGGAGGAGCTGGTGAGCAAACACAACTGAGAATGGGGCTAATTAAAGCACTTTGGAATGAGGATTGTCAAAGATGAAACAATTGAGACAAGCAAAAGTATTCTGGGCTTTCAGTTGTCCATTTGGTCTACTGAAGTTCTCCAAAACATTTCCAAATGTCTCATGTAAAATAAGGTACTAACTACAGAGAGAGGTACGCAGGTACTGCTCCGCTTCTGATGGATTCCCACCCTCTCATTGTCCAGTCTAACTCAGGAGTGAATACCTTGTTATCTTGTGTCATCTGGGAGAAATGAGAAGAGACTTCCAGAATTAATGTCTTTAGCTGTAATTGCATTGTGTCCCCCGACCCCAAACCTGCAGATGCTCCCAGCTACTTTGTTCCCTGCTGGGTCTCCTCTGACAGT